CCTTGAACAAAGGATGAGTGCCTAGAAGGGGAAATAAGCAGCTCTTTTAATGACAGTAATATTCTCTTTTAATCTAGGTATTGTTTATAAGGTTATTACTGGTTTAATTCATTTTTGCATACTGAGGATCTGTGCCATTTTACTTAGAAATATTTCAACTAAATTTTTGAGAGGTTTTTCTTAAAGATCACTGCATCTTTGAACATTATGGTAGTAAATATAACTGAATAATGGTAGAGACTTTTCTAAGCTGTATTTTAGTAATTTTCAACATTTTTATAAAATGATTTGTAATGTAGATCAGGATGTGAACGGAACTCTGGAATACAAAGCTGGCAAAAATTACAACTCATTCTAAAGAAATCAAACTGATTGATGCCTGCTCCTTCTCTATGTTTTATTTAAAAATTTTTTTAATAACCTCTCTTCTTCCCAATTATTTTAAGGAAATAAATGAGAGAAAAAGGAATGAAATTTCAGCTAAGGGGAACACACACAAGTTGAATACTCTTTCCCTCAACTCCCAAAAGAAGGGAGGCAAAAATGCCAAGAATACTAGGGATACAGTCGAGTAGGGAAGACTGACATTTCAGTAGGATAGAAACTTAGGCAGAAAATGTTTTTCTGTTTTTGTGTCTAGATGAGCAAAGGGAAAGGCAACTGGAAAGAAATGAGTATCAGAGAAAAGAGAAGCGTCAGAGGGTAAAAATTCTGCATTGTCACTCAGCATGGTAAGTGTAAGAATTCCCTCATGGATTAAATAAACATATGAAAGAAAGCTAAAACCCTACTAAAGACACCTGCTCCAAGATGACTGATAAAGGGCTCCAGAAGCAAGGTGATATGAGATAAAGAACAAAAGGAAAATAACTGAGGTGATACTGTGAAACAGCAAGTCTGACTTCCCACATCAGAGATTTAGGCATTGGTAAATGACCAAGTTATGGAATTTGCCTAATATGCCATTATACACAATAAATAGCATAGTAAAAATACAACTATTTCATGCTAATACAACATAAACAACTGAAAATTTCAAGAAACTAGTTTATATGTGTGTTTAAAACTAGACATACAGCATGTGAGACAAGGGCCAATTTTCTTTTTTTTTCAATGTATTTGATACAGGGACTCACTACGCAGCACAGAATCTAGTGATCCTCCTGATTTCAGCCTCCCCAACATTGGGATAATTGGCATGCGCCACCACACCTGGTCTTTGTGGCTGGCTCAGTGCATCCAGTGGCGCAGCTGGGAAGAATGTCGTGTCAGGGATCGAACCCCAGGCCCAGTGCCTGCTTAAGCAGGTACTTAGTCCACTGAGATGTCTCACCAGCCAAGCCTTCTTTTCTAATAAAAAATATTACTACTGTCTTGGAAATGTTAACCAACCTTTCGTACTGGTGTAGATAAAATGCTTTGGGCAGATGTCCACATATGATTTCTTTTATCTTTCGATTTACGACAATCAGTTAGGCAATTTCGAGATACACTTTGTGAAGGAGTTGCTTTAGAATCAAATTTCCTGTAACTAGATTCAGGTGCTTCCCATGAAGATGTCTGTATTTTCTGCATTAAACAAAAATGAGTAAAATCATCATTAAAATTAAAGGTTTTAATTAAATTGCAGCAACCAGAATGATGAAATAAATTAGTCCCAAATTTATTGAGTAAACTTTGTAGTGACTATTTTAATACTTGTACATTTAAAATGAATTTGGTAATAAGTAAGTAAATATGGCTATTTGTGAGCTGCTAGAAAAGCACATACCTAAAGTCTATTGAACAGATTTATAAAAGTATGTGGCAGAAAGTTTTATCTACGGTTCTAATAGTCTAAAAGCCAGAGGGCAATTTATTTTCATTTTCACTCATGCTTTTTCCTTTTTTTCATACTTTTTCAAGTATTCATATTTCTCCTTCTCATCAGCCTTTTAACAATGGTTTCAGTCATCTTCAAAAAGGAAAAAAATCACAGAAGAATGAAATTTTCAGAAAACTGAGAAAATAATCATTTGCTTCAATTCTGAAGGTAAAAAAATAGCAAATATACTATAAATACGTAAACATTATTTTAATTCAGTTTCCTTTGTCTCTATATGTCTTTTTT